AATTATAATATATACGTATATCATTTAATATATTTAGCTAGTTTTATGGAACTTCAGAGTTCAGATACTTAATCATAATTAATTATAATTAACTCCATTCAAATATTTTTATCCAATTTTGGTCTTCTACGATCAAATATGCTTAGAAATTGTCTTGCATTTCAATTTTAAATATGTTATATATTAATTTTTATCTCAATGAAATTTTCATAAAAAATTTGCTGTATATGAATCCAATATTCATAAAGACTTCATATCTTGAGCTCGCCTGGTTATCGATTGGCTAATGAAGTGCATCAAGCAAAGTAAGAAAATGTACTTCATTTTGTTGCTGTTGTTGGTGTTCTTGTTGTTGCTGTTGTTGTTGTGTGCAACACGCAACTGAGAGAGGCACAAACAACATTAAAGCGGCGCAAATTCGTTGTGCATTAATTAGACATTTTATAGGTGCAACACGGCGTAAACTGCACGCCTTTGGCAGTGGCTGAGGCAGGGGCTGGGGCTGGGGCTGGGGCAGCCACAGACCAGGCCCAATACCACAATTATTGTTTGGGCCTGGTCAACAGCAATGGCAACAAAATGAGAGGCGAATAAGGCAACGGCAAACCGCAACTAAAATGTTGCCAGCGAAGCGTCCATCGGCCTCTGAGTGCACATATTTCGCATGGATTCGATAACTTACATTAATTTGATGTACACACATACACACACACATGTGTCTGCATTGTTATGCATGTGTGTATGCAAATATGGCTGGATGCATGTGGTAACCGCGAATTGCCAACTAACTAACCAACCCAATGCAGCGCAAAGCATCCAATGCGAGCAGCGATCAATATGCGCCAATATAAGCCACACACAAGATGAGAGGCAGACAGAGAGAGGGAGACTCTTAGAGCGAGAGCCGGAATGTGTTGGGGGGGAGGCGCAGGCGGCGGAGGCTGCTGCCACTATACAGCGGCAAGAGCGAGACGTTACCATTTCATTATGCGCGTCCGCGTTCGCGTTTGCATCGTTGAGCGAGCCAGTTTGGAATAACAGTTTGCTTGGGGTTAACCAAATGGTGTTGCCAATACTTTTTGCCACATACGCAATCGGCGAATACACTGAGAGAAATGCTAAGGTAATGCCTATTTGTGGAAATGAATTAAATTGGAATTTTGATTAATCAAAAAGAGATGCACAATTTCCGAATGTTAATTGATTATCTGCATTTTAACCCATTTGATATGAGTTACGAACTATTTATATGATCATTTATGCAAGAGAAGAATATATGAATGGATATGGATATGGATATGGATTTGATAAAAATA